CTGTTGGAAATATTTGAAGGTTCTTGTAGCAATATATGATATTATGTCTTGACTCATAAATACATTTTGAAGTGTGGTTCTGTGAAAACGTTATGAACAAATGACATCTTACCTGCTGTAGATATCTTTTTGAACAACCTTACCACCTTATTCCTAGCCTCTATGCTGCCTTGCATGAATTATGGGTGCAACTTCCGGCACGGACCAGAACCAACGTTTGTTTATGTGTGAACAGTACGAGCTAATGTAGTTTCTCCGAGCATGGTGGATTTAATTTAAACATGGAGTAACTCCACCTGTCAGAGCTCCAACAGGACAATATAATCATCCCGATGCCTGCTGCAGAAGAAGTGACCACAGATTCTAGCATATTTAGCTACTTCATTGACTCGGTTGCTTGCTTTGCTGTTGTTGGGTATAACTGGGACCTTGAGTACACAATTTCTTTCCACCTCATGTACCACATGTGTTGCAAATGACAATAAAGAAACTTGAACTTGCTTCCGATGGTGAACTGATGAACAACCTGAAAAGCTCTGAGGCATAAGTATCTACACAGTAATAAGGTCGGTGGTGTCTTGTTAAAAGAGGTGGGACACAATCTTATTTATCTTAAAGCAGACAAAGAGCCCAGACAAAGTCTTAAAGTCCCTCACCATCGAGCTTGGGTTAACTACAGAGACGTAATACTGAACACGAACAAATACAATAACGCTGTGACCTTAATACACTTGAAATCATACCTGATATTCTCGTCACAGTTTTCAATCCTGAGGATCCAGCGTCTCTTCTCCGGTGGTTTATTGTAGTCCAGACACAAAGTAGGATGCAGGTTTTCCTCTGTCGGCCGTTTGTCAACAAAGAGAAATGAGCACATATACAGCAATATGAGTGGTCTCTTCAAGTTCACATTTTTCATTCATAATCTTCTCAATTCCTCATCTGTAGGTAGATGATGGAAACTATACCGCTTTTCACAGGAACGCTCTTTGTTTGTGTTGGGTCTGTGCTCAAAACACTGTTGCACTGATTTAGTTTGGTCTGGTTGTTCGTGCAGCCGCGAACACAACA